ATTAAACACCTTTAGGCACCAGGAAAAAACTTCTCTCCCCCTCCTCATTTAATCCTCACAGCAACCCTGTGAGGTAGGTTAGGCACAATGCAGTGACTAGCTCCCAAAATCACTGTGAGCTTCATGGCCACATGGGGATTTGAACCCTAGTCTCGTGGCTCTCTTTCCCCCCATGTTATGCTCACAACAAGCCTGTGAGGGAGATGAGGCTGAGAGGCAGTGACTGAGTGCCAAAAACAAGCCATACAATCGAGCTTCACGGGCAAGCGGGGATTTGAACCCTGGTCTCCCAGCTCCTAGTCTGACACTCTAACCACCAAACCACATTGGCTCTACAGTTCCAAGGATTCTGGGGGTGAGGTGATGTCATGTGCTCTAAATGTATGGTGTGCACATGCACAGCCTTGGGATTCCTTTCCTCTTCACCCTATCTCTCCAGATATCCACTATGCATCCCATGCACCTTGTCCCTGGTGCACATGTCGTTAAATGCATGAGCAGTGATGGCGATAGACGTTTCTGTGCTCAGACACAGGAGGCCTCTCAATGCTGGGGGCTGAGAAAAACCTGGTGGAAAGGAGAGGAGGGCTTCGCATCCTGTGCATAAACTAGAAGCAGCTGAATACAACTGGACATAAAAGCAGTTTCTGAGTTGTGAATATGGCATTCATTTGAGGCAAGACTAGATGACCACACCGTCTCCCTCCAACTCTCTCTCTCTGTCTCTTTGCTTTCCTTTTGTGCATTTTCTAACAGCAGCCTCTTGCTAGTTTTCCTTCCTCTGGCGCTCTGAAGCCAGGGGGATCACACGGCATGCTCGTTACTGCCTCTTTTTACGCTCTCCCTGCAAGCCCGATGAGGCTCGTCGTGGCTTTTTAATCCCTGCAATTAACACAGAGCTCATGCTTAATGTGCCTTCCCTTTGAGCAGGGCACATCACGTGTCCATCTGGGATCTTGCTCAAACACCGTGTGCCCCACGTACGCTTTGTCTCCTCGTGTGCTCCCTCTCTCGTCTGCAGAATCCGAGATTTTCAAGGCAAGGGCTGCAGTTCCAGAACCCAAGAACCAAGCTCTATAGAGGGAGGCTCAACTTGTGGTTTTGCCCCTAACTGAAAAAGTAGGACCAGCAGCCAAATGTTCCAGTCTATCCTTCCCTCCTAACAGGAGCTTTCCTCATGCCCTCTGCCAGGATACTCCATTCCATCTCCAGTTTTCCTTTTCCATTCCTACCCATTATTGATTTCCAGTTTTCAGTCAGCATTTTGAGGCTACTCTGCAACCTTTGAAAGTTTTAAAGGGGGTTTCCCCCTTAGATTTTCTTTCCTTACTATATTTGTTGAGTAAGGCCTTGCTTCTGCTTGCTTTACAGCGAGCCCATTTTAGGCTATAATCTGTTGACACGCTGAGATGCCTTTTAGAGGGATGGAGGTAGATGGAGAGAGATCCACAAAGTTGCCAACTGGGGAAGTGCTAGATCCAGTTATACCCACCAAGTTAAGTAAGGCTGTATCTTTATTCTTGGAAACGCGAAGCAGCATCTTAATTGATTTGCCTTTAGCAATTGATTGAGGCAAAGGTGGGAAACCTTTTCCAGGTAGATGGCCACATCCCCTTCTTGGCAACCTCTGGAGGACCAGATGCCAGGGGTGGGCGGGGCCAGAGCCAAAAGTGGGTGGAGCAATGAATGTAAATTTTACAGGTGGCTAGTTTCTCCACACTGCCTCTCTATCTGAACAAGCATTATCAGTGTCCAAGGTCACACTCCAGCCTAGCAAAATCCATGGAGGGTTCAAAGCAGGGTCTGACTTGACATTGCCCATCAACAGTTAAACACTTGGACTGAGCTGGCACACAGCTAACCAAGCCACCAACTTTTCTGCTATGTTGACATGACTTGCTATTTAAAGTCATTCTAATTTTGCATCTACACATATAAATCAGCATAGGCACATTTTATGCAAAACTGTGGCATTTCCTGATCTCTTTTTCAGGTGATACATTTCCTGGTTCTTGGCAATGGCCAAGTGGAAAGACCCTAGTCCCAGAATCTCAAGGACAAGTCCCAGTTTCCTGTTTATTTTTTCCTCTTTAATATGCCTTGCTAAAGTCTGAACAGTTGTTGTGTTCAGGCTTCAACAGCTAAACTTTACTGCCTCAGGGTTTCCTAGATGTTCTGTTTCCTGCCATCTAGAGCACATGTATTTCAATGCCCATGCTTGTCTACAAGCAGAGCAATCCTAAATATAGGAAGCCAGAGGGATTCACACCAGTTTAAATTAAACTGGCATAAATTACCCCTGTTCCAAGCTTCTGCCACTTGCCCTGAGCCCATCTGGGCCTGGCAGAAGGGAAAACAAACATTTAAATAGAGTTTGACTAACACCATCCTTTTTTGCTGGCATTAGTTCTGCCAGGTTGCCAGGTCACATGACTGAACTGAACAGAGTTAGGATCCAAGGTACCGGTAAGTCCCCTCTGCCCAGTCCCTCCCCCAGAATGTCCACTTTCAGGACTTACACTGGTATAAGATTCAACAGTCCCAGCTTAGCCAGATGAGCCAGGGTGAAGGATTTATGCTGGTGTAACTCTGAGTTGAGATGAGGGGCTTATGCTCTCATAGCCCAGCCATGCTGTGACTGGTGGAGTGAGGAGGGAATGCACCAGATCCTAACTCCCTTTGCCTGGCAGATCTTGGGTTTGGGTTGTCCCCTAAGGCACCACATCTCACATTACACGATGGAAGGATATTGAATGGTGCCTAATGGTCAATAGCAAGGCAGGGGAATTCCCCACTCCAAGCATGCATTTAACCAAAAATTTAAACAAGTCTTTGCTCTGAAATCAGCAGAGAGCAGCCTGTTGCATGAATATAGCAGACAGGGTAGACCCTGAGTCAGGAATGGGGAACATCTGTTGCTCTCTAGATGTTGATAAGACTACAATTCCATCATCCCTTTGGTAACCTGAGCCTCAAGGGAGCTGGACATCACAATGATATCTGAAGGACCACAGGTTCTCTGCTCCTAGTGGACTGACTTTAAGCTCATGGGATCTTGGTGCAAAAGAATGGCTCAAAAACACAGGTGTAGAATTACAGTATGTGGCCCCCTCCCAAGTTGGTGTCTTCTGCAACACCTTCTTGATGCAGTAATAGTGCATTGGTGAGTGGAGAAATCGTGCTTTGTTCGATGTTCTATGATGCTTCCCGAGCGATGCCACATTATTGCTGTCCAGATGGGCTGTAGTGCAGCAAAGGTGAAACCAAAACAAAATGGAACAGAATATTTGTAGGGTGGGAAATTACAGCATATGCACTGAATGGAAATTCAGCCAGGTGGTTGCCCCAAAGCTTTTGCAGGCACAAATCAGTATTGAAAGGGAGGTTGCTTATGAATAGCCTGATAGCATTGTGAGCGCAAATTATCATGGATATGCAATAAAAAAAGGACATCTGGGAGACCCTAAGAGGCCTCTGACAACAAGCTCAGTTTGTTTGCAGTAACATAACTGGCACTTCCACACAAATTGTTTCACGGGCAAATCTACTCCTGTTTTCTTGATTTCAGCAGCCTAATATTTATTTATTTTTGGCCATGGGGGTCTTTCTGATGTTGATGTTTTTAAAACGGTTCTGAGTCAAATATCTTTGTTGATCTTCTACCAGTAGACCCCACTCTACTTTCTGCCCATTCCTGCCTTAAGTAATGTGTAATGGCAGAAGTAATTTTTGGGATGAGGCCAGGACTCATACAAGCATGTTCCTGTTTTCACATGCAGAAGATCTGATGGTAGTGGTTTTCAATCAAGAAGGGAGTTATTTAGTTTCTTGGCAGATCAATCTATATGGACTTTTGTCATGGAAGTCAGAAAATGTAAAAGGGGGGGGGCAACCAGCACTAATGCAGTGTTTAAATGGGGAGATTTGGGCTACGGAATTCAAATCCTTGCCCAACCATTAAATTTGCTTACTAAGGCTGATCTAACCACTATCTTTCAGCTTGTTTTACCTTGCAGGGCTGTTATAAGGATAAAATGAAACGAGAACACAAGAACTTTGTTTTCTTTCTCTTTTTTTTCTTCTTTCCTTTTTTATTATACATTTCAGAAATAGCCCTGTGCAAAGGAGTGCAACATACACGATATTAATAAGTAAAGGAAACAAGACTACCCATTGAAAGGTCATTCCAGAGTTTATGCGAAGAGAACGGCAAAAAAATATTTCCTCACTTGAAGAGGCATTTCCCCTCTTGTTTTGCAGGTCATGCAAAAAGTAAGTAAAATTGAAGTACAATTAGGAGAATCAGAAAGGAAGAAAGGAGAAAATGGAGGAGACTGCGAAAGTCAGCTTCCCATAGGTATATGTGTGTTTCACGTAAAGAGTCAGTAAAGAGCCTTTATAAAGAAGAGGATTATTCAGGTACAAAAATGCAACTTTACGTGGACTCAAAATCACAAAAATGGGAAAAGGGAAAAAGAATAATGCCTTTTGGCATTTCAAAATATTTGGCACACTTGTCACTGTATTGTGGTTTGGGTGGGGTTTTTTTTTGCAGGGTGGGGTGTTTTTTGTGTGACAGAGAATAAAGTCACAGTTTTTTTAAAAAAAGAAAGAAAGAAAGCAGTTAGCTCACATTGCTTGCTTGTGGTCATTAGAAAAAGCGATGCACATCTTTTGTTTTTTCTGCCCCCATTTCACATATAAAATTAAATTTCTCTATTTCCTCAAGAACAATTGCCTCCTGCAACAGTGAAATACCAGATTTGCAATCTGTTTTCAGAAAATAATAATACTGAGAGAATTTCTTCCCTGTAGAATCCCTTCCTTAGAAAAGTTTTGGTTCCGTACATTCCACTGAAACTTTAAAAGGTAGCTAGAATTAAATATAGATATATAGATATATGTTTATAATTATAATTATATATCATTATTTTCCCCTCCCTTTCCCCACCCACATTCATAAATACAGACATTTTCTTTTAAAAAAATGGAGATGGAGAGCATATTGTATGGAAATGTATGGAATTGTTTTTGCAAGATTTTACCATGTAAACAAGTGCTTGTTCAGAACAAGTATAAACAGTGACACTTCCCAAGATTTCCAAGAAAACACTGCTAGATTCCCTGCCTTTTTTCTGTTCTGTATGTTTAAGGGACTTTTAAAAATCCAAATTCCCAATTACTCATCATCCAGAGGGGAAAAAAGGGGAGCACCAGTCTTAATTTAGACAACTGAGCTCTTCTTCGTACATTTCAATTTGTACGGTTTGCATTTTGCAGTTCCTGGAATCTAGTTGGGCTTGGATTTTTTTATTTTTTATTTTTATCTTTTCACACATGAGTAAAACTGCTTTCCTCATCTCACACCGTCTGCCTCTGAGCCTGCTCCTAAGGATTTCGCAAGATGGGTCACAGGATAGCGAGGAATAACTTCAAAGTGCTATTAGTTTGCTTGCCTTTTTTTGTTTTGTTTTTTACCCAATAATAAAAGGTCAATCATTTTCTTCCCCCTCCTTTTCACTCAGTGTCTCTGTGGAAAGATTTAAACTCCCGGAGGTGGTTTCTCTGAAATGTTTTTGAGGACATCATCAATTCTGTCGTCTTCAATGACAACTGTAAGCAGATAAAAAGAAAAGAAAGCAGAGCATTTAAGATTCTATGAAGCTTCCATTATTTAGATTTTAATTGCTGACATCACCCTATAGTGAGAAGCCACAGGGTGGGGCGGGGCTTTGAAATGGGTGATAAAATGAGAAAGGGACAAATGCGAACCAGAGAACTGAAGTTCTGTAGCTGACAGTCCAAAGAAATGAGCCCTGGATCAGATTAACAATTTATCCAAGGTCTTGTAAAGGAGAATTACCTGGTGGATTTGTCTCAGAGGGCATTAGTGGGAGTGAAAGTGTGTGGGTTGTATTTGCATCCATTTACTCACCTTGAAAACCATCATTTATCATTTGCAATTATTTTTAATCCCTCTTCCACGCAAAAATAAAATAAAAATTAATCTCCAGTCACACTATGTCCAATAGGGGATCATTACCTAGTGAGTGAAATTAGAGTTGCAGTCACAAAACGTTTTTTATTTGTGACTCAGAAAATCTGCTGTCACCCTCCCCATGACTGTAGGGTGTACACACACACACACACACACACACACACTCCTTTCTGAAAAGATGCTTTCAGTCCAAATATGTGCTGTTCTTTCCAAAGGAGTGCCTGCAAAGTTTATCACTGAGAATCTGCTCTTTCGAAGGTCACAAAATCTACAACCTGAAAAGTGATATATAGAGTATCAAATTAAGATTCTTTTTTGTAAGGAAAACAAAAAAGCACCACCCCCCCCAAAAAAAACCCCATGCAAATGAAGTCCCAGGTTGGCTAGTGTCATTACTATCCTACAATTAATTGCAGAATCAGAAGCACAAAGAGACCACACACACACACACCCCTTCAACTCGTTATAATTAAGCCCTAATTATGTTGGGTGAGACCCTCCAGTCGCAAGGAAAAATGTAAGCGAGTCGAAACAGAAAGCTGTACGTGGAAAGGGTCCATTGGTGACCTCTGTCCACTACTGGGGTCCTATTTTCCTTCCTTCGCGCCCACCTCTCTAAAATCTTAAATTTGAACGTTGGTACCTCCAACCCATTTCCTCTCTCCACCAAATAATTTGGCAGAAGTGAACTGGATCTAAGGATTCAAGAGGAGACAGGGGTCCTGCCTTTCAATAATACATTTCCCAACTCACCACCTGGAGCAGAGTGCTGTGCAACTCCAAGTCTTACTACTGTTACTTCAATAAGAATCTCAAGTGGGGACCTGCACATGGGTGAAAGGGGTGTCATGGCTTCTGTGCAGCAGGCCCACCTTGTTGGGGTGGGGTCTAATTCCCCCCCACACACACACAAAAAAGGAGAATGGCCCAGTCTATAACCTCACACCTCTATATTATTGTATTTCCAGACAGCCATGCTGTTCCAGCAAAAACAACGGAATAGACTTGTGGCACCCAAAAGGCTTACCTATTTATTTTGGCATAAGCACCACACACCAAAACAAACTGAAATGCCACAAGTCTCTTGATTGTTTTAAACGTTGTTCTTGACCATCAGCAGCCAAAGTTGTAAGTGCCTCACAGCCACCACAGCCTTCCTTCTCTCACTGCCTAATTTCCCACATTTTAGATTGTAAGCGCCTAGAGGACAGTGACCAAACTGGGCAGACTATCTCTCTCATATGCTAACATACACTGAGGACACCAGCAGGAGAAGAAGAACTTCCAATTTCAGCAAATTCATTTGACTCCAGATATTTTTGCTTCACTGGGTCTTATAGGGGCTGTGAGAGATGGGAGCGCATGGGAATGGGAGACACGCAGACTTATACTCCATATTATTGACACTGCGGTAGGAGCTTGTGGAAAACCAGTTCTTCGGTAAATGAGCGCCAGATATGTGTGTGCATGCCCTTTCCTTGCACAGAGAGAGGAGGGGTGATTTTTCACTCAGCACTTTGGCCCCATCGAAGCCCCGATCAAAGGCCCTTTCCCAGCACTGCTGCAGAGAGTGCAGAAACTCTTCCAGGACAGAAGTTGCATGCATTTGGGCTTTAAATCCCGCCTCCTCACCTGACCCTCACCTCATAACCATCTTTGGGAATGGGCATTCCTTTTATTTATTTTTTAAGCTTCTATCCTTTTGACACACACAAGCACACATCCAGCCTGCCTTGGGCATGTTTCTTAAGATTAAATTGCCAGGTCAAGGACCCCCCTGCTGCGGGTGCTTCTGGCCGCAGGGATGGATATGTGGATGGGGTAAAAAGTCTGTGGAGGGATGGAGGGAGAAGGAGAACAGAAAGCTTTGCATGGGCTTAGCGCAGAGAAACGGCGAGGGGGTGAACGGGTGCAGGGTTAAGAAGAATTAACAGTTGCAGATTGCGTACAAAGTCAGTCAAACACAGGGTGGACCCACTGAAATGAACGGACCACTTAAGTTGATTCAATTCAATGAGTCGTCTCTGAGTTAAAACATATTAAGAACTACGGCACAAACAAGTTTCACCCCAGCTGTTGTGCAAGAAGGAGGTTTTGGAGAAAAAGATGGATCATGTTTAAGGGTGTATTTATCTATGAGGGGGTGCTTTAAGCCGGGGTCCTATCAAATGCAGAATCAGATAAGGGCACAGGAACTGTTGGGAACATAGAAACACTGGAAGCTTCCTTATAGCATGTCAGGCCGTTGTTTGATCTGGCTCTATTACCTACACTGACTGGCAGTAGCTCTCCAGGTTTCAGATAAGGGAGCTCTCTATCCCTACCTGGAGATGCCAAGATCTGAACCGGGGAACTTCGACATTGAAAGCAGGTGCTCCATCTCTGAGCTGTGGCCCGTCCTCTAAAAACAATGCAAGATGCCCGACCTCGTGGTTCTAATCAAGGGGCCGGTTTTAACAGAAGCACTGAAAGTCAGGTCGTTGGTCTATCTAGCTTGGTGTTACCTACACTGACTGGCAGAGGCCCTTCAGGCTTTCGGACAGGGTACATTCCAAGCCCTACCTAGCGATATTTTTTTGGGGGGGGGATGAACCCTGGATCTTCTGTATGCAAAGCAGCTGCTCTGTCGTTCCTCACTGCTGCGCTCCCAGCACATCGAGGAGGGGTGCATGTGCTCCTATGGAACATGACGAGGCTTACTCTCGAGTAAGCACACCTAGGACTCCGCCACGGGAGCTCCTGGTGATGGGAGAACCCAGAGAAATTGCAAATAAGGGTTTGTAGCTAAGGGGATGCAAGCTCTCACAAGCCACCCCACTCTCGGAAAAGTTAAGAACTTCCACAACATTGGGGGGGAAGGGGCCCAGCAATTTGCCTCAAAGCAATGGGGAGGCTGGGGTGCAGTTTCCAAGCGCGCCCAACGACAGCCTCCCCTCGCCTGCTGCTCCCCCTTTATTCCGCGTCTACCCCGCATGTGCCCCGCATCGCTGCCCCGCTGCGCTCACCGCATTTGCTCCTGCCGATCTGCCCCAGCTTGGGGGGCCGCTTGGTCTGCCCCCCCGCGTAGAAGTTGTTGGTGTCCTGCAGGCGGCAGGTGAAGGAGATCTGCCCCACCTCGCCGCCGTCCCCGTAGGGCCCGATCTTCTCCTCGCTGTAAGGCAGCACCTCCGACATCGTCGCTTCCACCGAGGCAGCTCCCGGGAGAGCGAGGCAGGCAGGCGGGCGAGACTGCAGCGGCGGCAAGTAGCAGCTCCGGGAGGGCGAAGTCCCTCGGGCAGGTCCGCAGGGGTCGTCTCCGGGGTGCGGCTGGTGGCAGAAGTAGGATCAGGCGCAAGGGGGGGGCGGGAGGCTCCTGGGGGGCTGCCCGGCTAGGATGTGGCTCCTTGCCTAGCCTGTTTTTGCCTGGGGCTTGCGCGCTCGCGGCTGGGGAAGGTGCGCAGGGAAGGTGCTCAGCAGACTGGCAGGCAAAACCCAGCGAGGAAGAGACAGGAGAGGGAGGGGAGGGAGGGAGGGGAGGAGGAAAAAGGCAGAGATCCCTGGAAAAGCTACAGCGTCAGAGAGGGAGGAGGAAGGGAGAGAGAGAGAGAGATGCATGCAGCTTGGAAAGTGTCTCACTCTTCTCTCAGCCGTGTCTCCTTGCGCTCATCCGTGTCTCTAAGAAAGCGCGTCGGAAAATTCCTGCGCTCTCCTTATCTCGCGTGTTCATCTCGGACCAGCTGCTGGCACGTCTTTTGCAACGGCGTTGATCTTACAGCCCATGCTTGCTTGTTTTGAAATGTTGCAGCCCAGCCTGCAGACCTTCCTCTGTGACTCCAGGAGACTAGCATGCTCACGTTACGGTTATTGCGAGCAGCAGGCAAAATGCATCTCTTTTTCGTCATTTTTTTTCCCAAAAGGAAACGGGTGGGGAAGAAATAAAATAACAGTAGATTAGCCTTTAAGAAACGGCAGCGGCAGCAACAACTCAGGACACCCCTTGTCCTGCCTTGTTGTATTTGTTGGCCAAATTTTCACCAGCTGGCAAGAAAAGAATGGTGTTTGTTTTACAACCGGCCTTTGCCGCCCTGTCAGCTCAGCATCCTCAGGACACATTATGGTGACCGATATTATAAAAACGGGTAAAACAACTTGTGCACGTGTGAGCGCGCACACACGCACATATTTATGCACTCCTCATTCTGTTTGTGTGAATGCTTGCATGAATAATTTTGCCAAATGCATCTATGGTGTTTTCAATGGCTTGTTTGGCAAGAAAATAATTGCATTTATTTCTATTAAAACTTCCCATTGCCACCCTTTAGACCCACAATCCCAGAGTGGCCGGCAATAAATGAATTTAAATATAAAATTATATTATTATTTTAAAAAAATTATAGGGAAGTTTTTAATATTTAATGCTGTATTGTTTTTAACACTTGATTGGAAGCCGCCCAGAGTGGCTGGGGAAACTCAGCCAGATGGGCGGGGTATAAATAATAAATTATTATTATTATTATTATTATTATTATTATTATTATTACTACTACTACTACTACTACTACTCTCCTAATCCCTGTGTGTGTTGTGTTCCTTTGCCCAACATATCTATTGCGCTTTTAGCAGCTGGTTGTTGTTTTTTCCCCAAGGAAATAGCAGGTAATATGACATGAAACAAACATTTTTTAAAAAATTAAGTGCAACTCAGTACACAAAGCATAAAACAATTACAACAATTAAATAGCAGGAAACAGGAAATACGTGACAGCTTGCACAGAAGCAGCATCCCCAATGGCAGTGGTTGCTGTCAGCAGTAGAAGCGAGCAGCCAGGGTCAGCTCCCAGCTCCCAGCTCTCGCTCTGCCTCGTTCAGACTAGCCTACCTCACAGGGTTGTTATGAGGGTAACGTGGATGAGAAGAGAGCTATGGGTTGTATCCAGCTCAGTTCTGCATGGAAATTATGGACCCAAGTTAGCCAAGTCCATTCATTTCTGTTGGGTAACTCTGAGAGGTACCAACATTGGCTACAAGCTACAAGCGCATGAAAATGATCCTCAGCATTTCGGAGGGGGAAAACAGGATAATGTCATTTCTCAAAGCATCTTTGCATTTCTGCAGTACTCTGAACTGGCCAATCTGCTTGCCTTTCCCACGCAGCAGGGCTAAATTTAAACTGGAAGTTCATCCTTAAGACACTGACCAGAGGTAGGCCACTGTTCCATTGACCTCAGTGTTTTCTGCACTGGCTGGCAGCAGCTTCTCAGGGAGTCTTTCCCAGCCCGACCTGGAGATGCCAAGGATCAAACATGAGACCTTCTGCATGCAAAGCAGGTGCTCTGTCACTGAGCCATAGTTCTCCCTCTAATGGCTTGTAATGTCGTAAAGAAGAGGTTGTTCCAGGGCATGTGCAGAGTGCAGTGTTATGAGCTGGACTCTCATCCCATGCTGCCTTCCCCGCTGCATGCATGCTGTGGCTGGGGAGGGGGCAATTTATTAAGCACACCTGAAAGGAGCAAAAAAAGTCACTTGTTTGTTTATTTATTTGTAGGTTTACAAGCGCCAAGGTATACTCCACTTCTCAGTCACCAGGTGGTTTCAAGAAAATAAAATTTAAAACAACACACACACACACACACACACACACACACGCACAAACACACACACACACACACACACATTAAAAGCACAATCCATAGCAAAAAGAAAGCGCCCCAAAACACAGCAGGAGACAGCATATGTGCCAAATCAGAACAACTAGCACCCTAAAAGCACAATGAAAAAGAAACCTGTTTTTATAGCACTTTGACATGGACATTTGGTTGGCAAGGCTGCTCTTAAGTCAGAAGTTCAGCCTTCAAATATCCATGGCAGAAATTATTAGTATTTATACACCTTTCTTCCTCTTGGAGGAGCCCAGGGCGGGGGCCAGACACGGCAATGATAAAACACTTAAAAACTAACAAACAGTGGATACCATTTGGAACTATTCTAAAAAACCAAAACATATTAAAGCATTTTCAACCAGTGATCTTGGGGAACAGTGTCTTTCAGCCATTAAATGCCGGGGTAAATAGGAATACTTTGAAATTCTTCCTGAAAGTCAATATTGAGGGGGAAAGGTGCACTTCGTTGGGGAGGGCGTTCCTCAAATGGGGAACCACCACCAAAAAGGCCCTGCACCACCAACGAGGCCTCACCTGCCAATTTCAGGGTATTCAAATTATTGATATTGGGGAATTAGTTCTTTAAGGTACTTGGGTCCTAAGCATTTAGGGCTTTGCATGCTAGTTTTACTGGACGCGGGTGGCACTGTGGGTTAAACCACAGAGCCTAGGACTTGCCGATCAGAACTGTTCGAATCCCTGTGACGGGGTGAGCTCCCGTTGTTCAGTCCCAGCTCCTGCCAACCTAGCAGTTCGAAAGCATGTCAAAGTGCAAGTAGATAAATAGGTACCGCTCCGGCAGGAAGGTAGACGGCGTTTCCGTCTGCTGCTCTGGTTCGCCAGAAGCGGCTTAGTCATGCTGGCCACATGACCCGGAAGCTGTACGCCGGCTCCCTCAGCCAATAAAGCGAGTTGAGCTCCGCAACCCCAGAGTCAGCCACAACTGGACCTAATGGTCAGGGGTCCCTTTACCTTTACCTATGCTAGTTTTAACTCCTTGGATTTGGCCTGGATTTGGCCTGGTAGCTCTCTGGCAGCCAGGTAGGGGCTATCAAGATGCATGATCCCACTGGGCTACCCCACATGCCAGCCATGCTCTGCATTTGCTGCAGCCTCCAGACCATCTTCATGGTGTGCATGTTCTTAATGAAAAGAACTTACAGAAATGAATCATGTTAGCACTTTGGTTGAGATTCCTGCATTGCAGGGTGTTGGACTAGATTACTCTTAGGATCCCTTCCAACTGTACAATTCTATGGTTCTAGTGGAAACAGCTTGCCCCCCCCCAAAAAAAATCTATATTGGTCAACACTACATACAAAAAGTTGCATATTAAGATAAATTTGCCAAGGAGTTTTCATGAGGTATCTGGAAATGGTTATGGAAATGAATTTAAGATTTGAAAGAGAGGCGGGGGAGACGAAAATTGATGCATTGATCCATTGTTACTTGCTGCAGTGAACTGAAACAGCCCCATACAGTTTCTCCTTTGGCTCCGGGTTGGCTGTGTAACTTGAGAGATCCAGTCTCAGGATGGAATCCTCCTAGGTGACCGAAAGGCATCGCTAACTGTGTTACAGCAAGGTGATGCAACCCCATGTCTACCTGAGACATCAGTTTCAGTTGTCAGTTTCCTACAGCCAGAAGATAAAGGAAGCCAGGAGTTCTGTTCTTGGCCCAGCCTGGGTTGCCCTGCCCTGCCTCCATGTGTGAGAGATGTCACCTTATTCAGTTGCAGGGAAAGACCTCCTGATCCCTCAAGCAATTTTTTTCTCCTGCCCTCACTCCAAGGAGCACAAGGTAGCCTTTGTGGTTCTCCCTGCCCCCCTCAATTGACCCCCACAACAACCCTGTGAGGCAAGTTACTCTGAAAGGCAAATTTAAACCATGGTCTCTTAGGTCCTAGTTAAACTAGGGCTCCCAGGGACAGCCCCCAGATTTGCAAATCTGTCCCCGGGAAATGTGGCAGTGGCAGCCTCAGCAGTCCGGAGCCAGCCTGGTAGTGCAGGTGGCTCTGGCTGGCTTCAGGAGCTGCCCGCTGCTGTGGCGCCCACCATTTTTCCTTGCTGGAACTTCTGGCGAGGAAAAATGGCAGGCGCCACGGCAGTGAGCAGCTCCTGAAGCCAGCCAGAACCAACTGCGCTACCAGGCTGTCTCCGGGCTGTTGACTGCCGCTACCGCCACCACTGCCGAAGGGGAACCGGGGACGTCCGGCGGTACAGATCTCCTGTCCCCTTCCCCCTTTGTTTTGACTGATAGGGGAAGGCTCGCGAGTTGCGGGCGGGTGGCCGTTGCCCAGTTTTTTAAAAACTCTGCGCATTTATGTTTCACAGGGTGCGAAAGAAGGGCTTTGCACCTTTATACAATATGCATGTGTGCTTGGGCCCAGGGTCTTTTGTCTCACCATCCCCACTACTGACTCCCTGTTGCTACTCAGCTTCAAAAAAACAAACCCCCAAAGTGTTCCCAGATTCAATGAAAAAAATCTGGTAACCATAAGTTAAACACTACACTACCACAGGCTCCCCAAATGATGGACAGGCAATGACCAATTTACACGGGTCCCATTGGCGTGCGATCATGCACACATGCATCACAGTGACTCAGAAGTGGCTGGAAAAGGGGGTGGGGCATAATGGAGCAGGGTGGGCTTATGCATGGTCCACTGATGTGCACGATGACCCATGATATAAGTAAAAAAACCTGCTCCTTTTCCCTTATGGGGTACCTAAAAGCCCGTACAGAGTCCTTATGTAGGTTCTCTATTGGTAGGAGGAAAATAACAGAGACCAAGCATAGAATATTGAGAAGCAAAGCAGCTAGTAAGTCTGATCTTTATTAACTGTAGCAACAGGGTGCTCCCCTCACATGCAGGAGAGAGGATGAAGACCCAGAACAAAGGTGTGCCCGCCCTTATATAGACATTTTAAATTGCCCGCCCTGGAGTCCAAGACCACCCCCAGAAACATCATACATACATCACAGAAGGGGTGTAGCCCAAGACCACCCCCCAGATATATCATACTTACATCACAGAAAAGGCGGTCTACAACAGAAATCTGAGTGCATTGTTTATCTCCTGTCTGGCAAGTTATCGTACCTGATTGCATTATCTGGGTT